TGAAAGTTGGTGACAGTTTGCCACATTAGGAAATGCCGTTTAGAGCAGCTCAGTGGCATATATCATAAAGCATCTAAATTTGACTTAATGTGTCCGGTAAATCTCTGAAAGGCTTTCCCGCAACAGTCTTTCCCCTTTCAACATTATATACAAAAAAAAAAAGGGAAACTCGTTTCGACTTGGCACACAAGTAACCCGAGGCACTGTCGATACAGAGAAGTAATGAAAGGGAGCTATTGACGATTAATAAGGTGATTGCCATTGATCAAGGACGTGAGCGACACTGCCAAAAAGCCGCAGGTCACCATCTTTTTAATTCATGTGCTTGAAAGAGTTAGCCATTAAAAAGTGCAGTCAAACACTCGGCTTGGGTGAGTGTTTCCTTTTGAGCGTATTTGTCTGTTTGGACTTTAACTCCCTTCCTCCCACACACACACTTGTTCAATCAGCACAAAAACAAGGTCATCGGCTTTGCAGGAGTCACCAATACAGAACATTGACCCCCCCCCCCCCACAAAAAAAAAAATTGAATTTTTTTTCCAATGTTAACCGAGCCCTGACTTCTTTCATTTTTACAATAGCCAAACAAAGGTCGCCCGCGTTGATATGGTCAATCAGTGGACTTCACTCAAGAATTTGTGAGCTAGCTTGAGGTTACATGACACGCTCACAAACAGGAAAGTGTTTTTTTTTTCCCCAGCCAGACAGATGAAAGCTGAAGTAGAGTCATAGCAGAAGCAGCTTTGTTGAGCTTGCACGGGCCAAAAGCTCGCACGGAAGGGAACTTTAACCCTCCTTGATAGGGAGAAATCGGCACCTTGACCCATTTATCAAGATGATGACTGAAGACAGATTGTAAAGGGGGGTGGGGTGGGGGGGTCAAGGACATGGCAAAGTGTATTTGTGTATGATTTCAACCCCCCCGCCCCGAAAAAGACAATTTGAATGAATTATGGCTTTTTTTTTCTTTTAACATGTATTACATGTGAAAATGTGACTTCAAACATTGGTTGAACAAAGTTCATGCAGTCTGTGTGTATCATCTGCAAAAAGAAAAGAAAAAAAAGCACAACTACCCGTCCAGTGCAATTGCTCTAATTTCAACCCTCAAAATTGAAATCTAAATACATTTTGCTCTCAAGTTGTGTCATAAACACAACACACACACACACACACACACGCGCACACACACACACACACACACACACACACACACACACACACAATGTGAACATGTTTGAACAGTTGTTCCAGATCACTCACGCCTACGCGTGTCGCTTAATTATCCAAGCTAAGACGAGTACATACAGTATCATGACACCTGTCTACCCTCATTCAGCAACCACAAAGGAAGCTACCTGTCTGGACAAACAACCATGAAGCCTCATCGCAGTGAGATATCAATTGGTGTGTTAACTTTTCCGCCAGGATGTCCTCAAGCTGCCTGACAACGTGAAAATAACACACAAGTGTTTAAACAGCAAAACCACTGACATGGGCATTTTTTTTTTCCATGGACCTTGCCCTTTACCCACGACATGCAATGACTCACTATTTAGCAATCAATCGTGTTTCTTTATTTATTATAGCTGACGGCACAATAAAAGCAAAAATCTCTTCGTCAGTAAAGGAAAAAAAAAGCCCGTCATGACACATCCACGCAGATTTGTCTGCATTTTCCTCATCCTTCTTTCTCACTCACTCACTCACTCACTCACTCACTCACTCACTCACTCACTCACTCACTCACTCACTCACTCACTCACTCACTCACTCACACTCGTGTACAAGAGCGAGTGTGTGCACAAGCGTGCCCGTTTGGACACGCAAAACAGGCGAGGAGAAATATCGCTTCTGGCGGCCAAGCGACTACACAGACTGCTCGCAGAGCGTAAACATTCTAAACAAGTGTCTTTTGCTGAATTAAGGGAGGGTTTATCACGCACAGGCCCCACGAGCGCACGCTTTGAGCACGAAATGGATCATCATCCGCATGGGTGAATTTCCATCCATCGGCTATTTCTTTTTAAATGCTTCATAGCATAAGAAAAACACACATGATAAGTGAGTAAAATTCTAATTCAAAAAACAACGGTGTGATTTTATTGTTACATTTTGAATTCACTGAAGGTTGAGTGAAATAATATTGGTACCTCATAAGAACGCAGGTACCCATCTGTGGTTGTAAGTTTGCAATTTTTTTTGGTTTGTTTGTTTGAATAGAGAGTTTTTACATTCTACTTTTATGCTTGGCCATTCATGGAAACTAGTTGGGAATCTGGGATTGTTCTGGGCGAGGAATGTGAAGTGCTGAATGATGTAAAATAAAAAAAAAAATTAAAAAAGTTGGCCACAGGTATAAGCACGCCAATGGGCGGGCTGAGGAGAGCCTGCACACTTTGCTGGCTAACTGCTTAGGCTAGCACACATTGGCGGGTCATGGTAAAAAAAACAAAAAAAATGGAAAGCTTGCATCAATTCTATAATAATTGTCTGCTTCTTCCTTGCAGCGAACATAAAAAAAATCTGCAGCATGACATTTGATTTCATCACCTTAACCGATACAAAATAAGTGCAAATCACAGGTGAGAAACCTCGTCAGCTATGTCGAGCCTCCACATTCCTTCAATCACTCTTTATTCAAACAGGCTGCTTTGCCCGGTTTCCGACGTTCCTTCTTTTCCCCGTTCATTCTTTTCCCTTTATTTTTCAGTCTCCCTGCGTGGCAGATAGCGTCAGTAGCTGTACAAGTGTCACATCGTATCAACGATGTTTGAAGTCGTTCTAAAGCCTCAGCACGGCAGGCAAGTCTGACGCAAAGTGTGTGTGCACAGTGTCTTGCAGCAGCTGCTCTTTTTTTTTTTTTTTATTTAAACCGCCATACATAATGAGTTAACATCCTGTCTGTTTCCTGCATTTTTTTTTTAACTTTCTACGGGGCACTACAGCATCAGGATTTACGTTGTGAGAGCTCTATAATATGTTGCATGTTTTTAAATGCAGTGAGGCCTTGAGATATGATAATGGTGAACGGACTTGCGAGTTGTCATTTGGACATTTTTTTTTAAAATTTGGGAGTGCAAACGTGAGATGTAACTGGTAGCAGTGGCAGATAGGATTAGTATGTAAATATTCTTCAAAATTGAGGCTTCAAGATGTTTTTTGCCACTCTCAGTTTAAGTTTACTAAACTAAACATAAAATATAGAGAACTACATTTGTATTTAAAACAACCACACATCTTATCTTACGGCTATTGCTAACTGAGGAAATGATTGGCATCTATGTGGCTCAGTTATAACCCTTTGAGCAGACAATACAGTACAACAGTACTCACATACTGTATTCTTTATCCTCTGCAAAGAGCGATTACATGAATCTCACTTTGGTTTGAGGCAGGACACACCCCACAGCTTGGTGCCATTATGAATCCCACTTGAGGGTTAGATCGAGATCTGACCTTGTGGAGTTCAGTTCATCGAGTTTTGTGTTTTTGGGGTGTGCAAACTTTGACACTGTATGCTAAAATCGTACTCGACACATTTGAATTTTGCCCATCTCTCAAGTACAGTGTAAATGGCTCAAATTTAGACTCTGACAAATCATTTAAAGCGAGTTACGCACATACCGATGGGCCCAATTTGAGCATGTCCGGTCAAACTCAAATAGCTCATTTCCTGTTTGTATTCAGGCATGGCTTCTTTAGGCTTTCTTGTGAGTCTTTTTATGACAAACTTGTCGATCAAATTTCCCATCCACTGGATATACGCGTCTCATGTCAAGGACTAAATTTTTTTTTTTTTTTTTTGCCCCAACTTTGAGGTGGATGTTACTGAACAGCTTTTTGGAGAGCATGTTCAAAGCGCCACATGCTCAGTCCTTGAATACTCCCTGCTTGTTTGGGATGACGTAAAAGGATAAAGTGCAGCATGATAACATGAAGGAGACTTAACTGCACGTGGATTGATGATCAAGGAAGGAAGGGGATTAGTGTTTACATCTCTGCTGTGCACAAACCAACGCCGGGCGATCGCAAACAAATCCAGCCAGAAAAAGATATTTTTTACCCAGCGTAAACCTCCTAAAACCGTGACGCTTTTTGCAAACTGTGTTGTCTATGGCCACTGTCAACGTTAGTTTTTCAGCAAATGTTTAAAAGGGGAACGCGTGGAGGTCAGACAGGATTGATTCTCCCGACTAATGTGTTATTGAATGACCGTCCCTTCGTCTCAGAGTGCTCGCGGAGTTTTGTCAATACAGATTGGCTCCAGGGTAAATATCAAGTGTCACACAAAAACACATCAGAAATACAGGTAGGCCCACATGGAAAAGACAAAAGCCCATACAAATATTAAAAAAAAAAAAAGCTTCAACAAACATGTACAGGTGTGATTCACACTCAAGGGTTAATCCCAACAATAAAATCGCTTCTGTTTAAAAAAAAAAAAACAAAACAGCAATATGGACATCAAGAAACATTTTTTATACCATTATAAATCAAAATATATGAAGATGTTCAGCCCTCTTTATACCTATAAGCAGCTTTCAAAGGCCTGAGAAGACTTTCTACAACTACTAAAATATTTGTCGACCAAACTGCAGTACTTGAAAGTATGGAGGTCTGGCATAAAACTTGCGCAGTTACATTGTTGCTGTTGACAAGGGTTTAATATGGACATTCCCCGTACGACAGGGATTCCCCAAACAGGATGCATAATTAATCATGTTGCCTTGGCTGTAAGTGGGCTTTGATGTTTTGTTATATTTTGAGTGAGTGTTTGGCAGGGGGGTGGGGGGGGGGCACTTTTGTGAGGATGTTGAAGGGGGGGTGCCTGGCTTAAAAATGTTCATAAAATTATAATTTCATTGCTTATACTGTAAACTGCTTTGGGTTTTGGAACTTGCCTCATACAAACAGATCGCCCGTGAGAGCATTTAATACGCGCCGCCACCCAGTTCTAAAATCAAATACTTTGTAAAACCTCAAGAAGAAGTACTTACGTAGGACGTAGAGTGACAGTGTGATGCCAGACAGGCAAAAGCCTTCGAAGAATCGCAGCGTGCTGAACATGGGAACGTTGACTGAAAAGGCCACAGTGAGGCCGAACACCAGCATAAACAGCACAGATATGATCAGCACTGGGTGACGGCCAAACCTACACAATAAGAAACAATGACAAAATGTTTACAGTACCATCTTAAAACATCTTTAATGTCAAACTATTGTAGTGGGTGTTACGTTCTTGGGATGTCTTACCAGTCTGCGAGGATTCCGAACACCAGGTATCCAAAGATGGACCCGACCAAGAGTGAGAATTTTGCAATGTGGACTTTCCATGCCGAGTTACACACCAGACTCCACTGAAGACACATTAAAACACAGCTGTTAGAAATGCATGTCAAGTTAAAAAATACCCACTTTATATTCTGTCTTGTTGTTTGACATTTAAAAGTGGCGCGTTCCCTTTTTGACAGACTTGGATGGAAATTTCCCAAGCTAGAGATCAGTGGTGGTCAATGACCACACGAGCTGTGCCTGAAATGCATGACATCTCATGAAGGATGGTGGGACGTGGGCAGGGTGACTGCGTCATATAAGTGAAAGAATGTCTGCCATGTTTAACTTAGCTATGCGCTCCTTTTACTTGTTGTTTTTACTGAACTTTGCAAACTAAAAATATGCAGATGAAATCAAATCCCTGATTATTTTCTAATCGCCGTTTGTTACTTTTGAGTGGTTAAATTTATTTTATTTTTTTTTCACGAGCATGCTAGTAAAGAAATGGTAATTAAGCATTGCCTGTACAGTGCATAAAGATGTTATCCTGCCAAGAGTTAACCCTGGAGCTGAACAGATCATTTCTGTTTACATAATTTCCGGTGGGTAGAAAATAGGTTGGAATCACTCTGTCCGAAATTGACTGTGTTCAACCATATTATATTATTATTAGACCACTGCAGCTGGTATCGATGATACCAGTTAGTATCATTAGAGGGACACATAGTGTCCATATCTCCATGTTGTTAGAATATAAACATCTTACATGATGTTACTCAATTAAATGCATATTTTTCTTCTTTTTAGGATGTCATGGTTCTAGGGGCGCTTGCTTCAACCTGACATGACCTCTATCACAGCGACCCGCTTCGAATGGAACGCTCCAGGATTACACAGAATCACTCAGTTATCACATGATCCAGGAATGCCACTCATTCACACTTCTGGTATCGCTGTCAGCCGAAGGAAAAAAAAAAAAGAGGGTCACAAAACAAGTTCCTGTTGTGCAATCGCTTCACAGCGGAGAGACGGAATGAAAACAGAAAGAAAAAGTGACTTGGAAGACTGAAACTATTCTGAGGCTAGATGAGCTGGTATGTGGTGACCTTTGTGGCCCAGCGCAACTGGATGAGTAGTATCAAATGCTGCCAAAATGTACAGCACAAAAATTAGGGGAGCTTGTCTACATGTCATGAGCATGATTTTCTGCAGAAGGTATTGTCAATACACATGTATTATTAACTAGGTCTCTCACTGACCGAGGTTGTGAATTCTTTGATGGGAACTACATGCTGCGAATAGAGCTAGCAGCTCTCACTAGCAAAAACGGCAGGACACAGGTTCCTCTCTATACAGTCATGGAGAAAATATTAGACCACCCTTGTTTTTTCAATTTCTTGTTTATTTTAAATGCCCATTACAGCACCACTTATCCTGAACTGGGTCGCATGGAGAGAGAGGTTGCTAGAGCGAATCTTAACTGACTTTGGGTGAAAGGCAGAATACACCTTGAATTGGTCGCCAGTCAGTCACAGACCACACACACATAGACAAACAACCATTCAACCCATTCACACTCACATTCACACCGTCACTGAGTGGGAACCGATCCCACGCTGCCTGCACACAAGTCAGGCGAGTGTACCGCTATGCTATCAGCAAAGGACAAACATAATACAACCAAAATAGCTCAGAGTTTAATGAAGGAGCTGATTATCGAGCTGTTAATAGTTTTCATAATGATAACCAAAATCACTGAAGTTCTGACATAAATAGTGATGGCACTGTACTTGCAAAAATCAGTGCTTCAAGGCATTCAAAATCCATTGCAATGTGTCACTAACCTACGCTAGCATAGAAGTAAAGTTCCTATTTGTGTGAAAAGCAGTTCCACACCATAGATATTAAACATTCAAATGAAAAACAATTAGTGTAGCAGTAACTGAGAGTTCTTTCTTGTGCCATAAATTCATGCGTTTTGATACTGCTGGGCTATTCGTAACCATACTTTCCCATCTATTACTGCCATATTGTGATATCACAGTTGCCAGAGAGGGGCAGAGAGGTCGAGAATTTTTTTTTCAATGGATGGACTAAGCAAGGACGAAGTGGGTTTTCATCCGTCCCTTTAATCGTCCCTAATCAGGTTAAGTCAGTGGTGTCGGGAGGCAAAATAACAAACCAAAGTGTAGCCAAACACTGTATTTTCTGAATAGGCTATGTACAGCACAACACTATTTCGTACGACTCGCTTAGTCACCATTAAATTACTCCTCTCCTTCCTTTTTTATCCCAACAGTATTTGAGAGCGTACTGTAAGACAACATAAAGTGCCTACGGACACCCATTTCACAAATTATCAATCCAGCCGATTAAGAAAGGGGACGGAGGACGATTAATTATATGATTAAGGATGGAGGGACGATGACGGAAGTGTACCCAGGTCGCGGACAGAGGACGGACCGGCAAAATAGAGTCAAGTGCCCATCTCTGACAGTTACCATCGACATAGTGAAGGGTGACATCTGAAGGTTCTACTCAAGGGACTGTTTTTCTTTGTGGGCTACGGTGTAGTTAGGGTCGCACTCAGGAGGCCGGTGATAATGGTGAAAACACAGGAATGGATAATCGCTTGAAGTGGAACCATAAAGAACAACAACAAAAACAAAAACGTCCATACGATGAATACCTTGGTTTTAACGTCGTGGTTCAGTTCACGTTTGGTAAAGCAAGGGGACAAAAATGCTAAATAAACTGATGACTAAACTTGACAGATTGAATGCTTTAAAAAAAGAAACTTAAATTGCCCATGACATTTACAAGCCGGAAGCTGAGCTGCATTTTGTTTGTTTACAAGACAAGGTGTGTTCTAGATTCATCCTTTAAGGTGCTACTCGACTAATATGGATGGATTCTCAGCAAGAATTCCAAACAACCAGGTTCAGTCCGAGTCCCATCATGCGCAGTTGGTCCGCGAGGCAGCCCATTCCGCCTGTATTCCGTTGCCTTGCTATTGTGTTGCTCATTAGAGAATAATGAATAGAAGGCAGTGTGCAGAGTTGGGCGAGACGCATGGATAAACCTATTAGCGGACAGAAATGCGAAGCGTGAAGAGCGGGGCGGGGAGACAGAAAATCCGTCAAAATCCTCGAAGCGTCTGCTGACATCTCTTAAATGACTGCGACTGCAGTGGAACAATGGTTATGTCAGACACCTAACGTGGATTCATGCTGCTCAATTGCGGCCTTTGCTGCGTGAAGAAACAATGTTGAATTGGGGGGTGCTAACAGAGCGTGATTTGGGAAATAAACCCTAAAGTCAAAATGGCACTGCTGGAATTTGACCAATTTTTTTTCCAGAAACTATGCTGGAGTTCAACAAAGACCTCTGTTCAATGTGCGTCGAAGCATGCGATCTGATTTTTGGTAAGAATGTCAAAAAACGAGAAGGTGAAGCTGTGGTGCAATATGTGCAGCATTATAGCTGAAGTTTGATGTCTGAAAATTGACAGCAATTAATTCAAATTATTTTTCCATTTACTGCTACTAAAATACTACTTTACATAATGTACCAGTATGTAAACTTATAAGGTTTAATTGAGGAAACACCCCCCAAAACATGCTCAAATATTTTAAACGTTTTTTTGTTGTTTTTGTTGTTTTTTTTTAATGAAGATACTTCGCACTAAATTGAATAAAAAATAATATAACATCAAAGCATTCCCCCCCCAACTTCTCTCTAACAAACGGAAGCCCACTTTTATGTAAAATTTCGTCACGGAACACAGAGCAAAAATATGACCGCGATTAATCAATGATCAAAGTCATAATGAAAGCATATTCAAAGCTCAGCCAAGTGCTTTGCAGTTGGAGCTGGAGCTGCTCTTTTCTGAACCTGCTGAACTTTAAAGCTGTGGGTGGGATGTTTCAAAGGAGTAGGTGGGGAGAGCGAGAAACACTTAGAGAGTCGCAAAGGCGAAAAAAAATAAAATAAATAATAATAACACACGCAGTACATGTGAACAGCAGATCTAAAAAAGAAGAAGAGGAATGCATAAGTAAAAAGTATGAATCACAAGAGAAGGTAGAAAAAAGCACTCTGAGAAAGATACAGTGAACAGGCGAGACTGCTGCATAGTTACTGCCTAGCAACAGAGATAATCAGACCCTTCCAAGTTGTACCTCACCCATGGGTGGAAAACACTGTGAAGTGGTAGGCGTGCAGAGTGGGGCTTGAAGACAATATCACGTCAAAAAAGAAAGCCAGTGAGCGAATGAGAATATGCTTTCGCTTTGCTTTCCATCTGCAGTGAGGAAAAAACTCTGAAGAGCAGGAGACGCTCACTGGTCACTTCATCAGGTACATCGACACAATCCATCCAACAATTCTCATTCCCACTTCTTTGCTAATTAGGTTCACTGCTAAGATGGCGTTGAATTCCTTTTTTCTTTTGTGAAGGCCCTTTTCCCATGTCATTTTTTTTTTTAAACAAACACAAGCAATAAATTAATCCGTCCATTTGACACCATAACATTTCATAAATGTTTCGGTATTCCAGGTCAGGCTCACGCTAACGTAATTGCAAATGAACCATGAATTAATATAAACCCAAGTTTATTTTCCTACTTCAAGTGGGGTTGTGACCTAATTGCCCCGCAGCCTTTTGAAGTGTTCACATCGACACCTTCATACAATTCTCACAAGCGAGTGTGGCGTAAACACAATTCGGTGAATCATGAGTCCGATTACCACAATAATACAAACAAACCCGTGGCTTTATCACTTCCATTTTTCATGCTGTATTAAGCAATGAGACTCCATGGAAACATTCGGACTGCGTTTCTTTAGCTCTGAATTTATCGAGACATTACATAAAAAAAAATATATATATCTAAATACGTACAGTACATGAAATAAAGCCCACTGACAAAACCGAAATGAAGCGGGTTTTGTTTCCACATTTCAGCCTCTGCGTTTTGAAATTGCATTCTACTTCATATCAATGTCCATTTTTCATTCGATTCATTGTTCATGCATGTATTTGAAATGTGGGAGGAAGCCAGACCACAAGAACATTCGGGCA